AMMYAMACCTGAACCTGAACCTAAACCTGAACCTGTCCAGCCTTACTCAGCCCCTCTCTGAGGGAGGGGAATTTTGCACCTCCTCAGGCCAGCAAAAAGCTGCATCAGTTTACACCAATTCAGCTTCACTGAAATAATAAAGTATATATAGCATATATACTTCACKGAGGTGTTATAAAGGAATTTAAGCACCTGTGTTTAATCAGATCAAAATAGTAGCCACAAAAATATTATTAATCATGAAAATAAGGAGTTTAAAGAGAGAGGGAAAATAAAGGGAGCAAGGATGGGAGGGGGTGAGCAGCAGTAGAAGTTAAATTAGTATTTTAAGCCCATTTTAAATCAGCCAATTTGTTACCTTCATTTAGATCAAAAACTGTTCCTAATCTCGTTTCCATGAGGAATTCATTACTGAGACTTGAATTTGAGGATCCGTGAGGCCAAAAATCAAGACTCAACATGAACACTGTGTTGCTCTGTGTCTGAAGGCAGAAGAAATATAGTAATAGTAATAGTAATAGTAATAGTAATAGTAATAGTAATAGTAATAGTAATAGTAATAGTAACAGTAATCATGTTTTTACAATAGCTTTATGCTACCAGACAATCTTTAATTTAGATGTAAACCACACCAAAATCAGGCTTCCATTTGGCATTTAATTGGGTATCATTGCTAATGAACAGGGATTTTAAAAAATCCTTCCTGGGAGTCTTTACAAATGCATTTATACCTGAACAAAGTATCTAAACCAAAYATTTACAGCAGAAAAGCCCTTTGAAATTGATTTTATTGCAGTCCCTGCCAGCCCACATGTGATCAAACAGCATAAATAAATAACTACATCTGCACTGTGTCAAAAATTGTATATTCTGGCATGATTTACAGGGGTGTCACAGCCTTTGTGACACAAATGATAATAAAGGTTTTAAATCAGTCTCCAAGAGCAGCAGTGCTCTTCGAAACAGCATCTGTACAAATATTTGCTAAAGTAGATTTACAGGAAGGGGAAAAAAAAAAAAAAAAGATGTTTTCTTCAAGGTTTAAATTTGCTGTTAGGTTAATTTGCGAGGATTTAATTGAATAGCACAGGCTGACAAATACACCTGAATACACCATGAAGTAAAATCATCAACTGTCAAAAACGAGGAGAAAAACAGATTAAGTCAGTGCTTGAATCTTCTTGACAGACAATTAAAAAATCAGCGTTTTAATTTGTCACATAAAGATCCTCAAGCAGAGTTATTTATTCCAATGTCTCAACAGGTGGTTTGTAAGCACTGAAAGAAGCTCATTTCTACAGATTTGTGCTATAAGTGGTTTTTACCTGAAATCCTSAAAAGCACCAAATCTAGTCAAAGCTTTCCTTAAATTAGGGCTTTTATAAGGTATAAAGGACATAAATATTCAGGCYATTCACACTGCCAAATCTGGAGATGAGAAGTTGATGTGATAAATCCTAAAAATTTAATGTTTTGCAAGAACTTTCTCTTAGAATCAGTTTATTACACTGACACGTTATTGCACCCAAGGTTTTTTTGAATGCTTGTATTCATGCACAGAACTTAATTTTGAGGATTTTATGTGGGAGCAATCTCCATAAATTTAGGAAAAAAATGGGATATGTTTCCAAAAGATATCTATCCACATTTAACCAACTCTTTKAAATAATAAGCTTACCTTAAATGGTGAAAGAACATAAATTACTAAGGGAAAAACTTTTAAAATTATGGACACACTGATGTTTTGAATTAAAATCTCTATTTCCAAYAGTCCAAGTTCATCTGTAACAGCAGCTTTCCAACAGGTTGTTGTCCTTCAAAGCCAGGGAGAAGGACTGGGAAGCAAAAAACACAATATGTCCCAGTGAAATAGGGCAGGTTTAAAATGAGAATTAAAACTTTGCAGTGGGTTCTGGGTCTGTGTAACATACCCAGGRTTACAAAATAACCCTAAGGAKCATCGAGTCCAGCTCCTGSCTCTGCACAGGACAACCCCAAGAATCCTGTCCTGTGCCCGATATGGGAACAAAATTCTTAATCCTAGAAATTTTGCCATCAACTTCAACAGATCACTTTTAATCCTAAAGGTGACCATAAAAAGGATTTTGCAACTCCCAATCAATCCTTTTGCACAGCTGAGGTACAAATTTGTACATTTTATTAGGATTGGGGCAAGATTCCCCTGSATTCCTCAATTAACTCAACATCTGTTCAATTCTAGAGTACATCCTTTACCTATGTACTTACAGACAAGGGAGGAGATTAATTCCATGTGCTGCTTCCTTGGAAACAGCTTCTGCTTGATCCACAGGGTACCACATGGATCACAAAATCATGGAATGGTTTGGGTTGGAAGGGACCTTAAATCCCATCCAGTGCCACCCCTGCCATGGCAGGGACACCTCCCACTGTCCCAGGCTGCTCCCAGCCCCAATGTCCAGCCTGGCCTTGGGCACTCAAAGGGATCCAGGGGCAGCCACAGCTTCTCTGGGCACCCTGTGCCAGGGCTGCCCACCCTACAGGGAACAATTCCTGCCCAAAATCCCATCCATCCCTGCCCTCTAGCAGTGGGAGCCATTCCCCCTTTCCTGGTACTAAATGCTTTTTAAACACTCCCTTCTCCATCCTTTCCTTCAGGTTTTGTAAGGTCAAAGTTTCTCTAAAAATCTCAACTAGAAAATGCCATGCTCCATAATTCCTTCCCAAATGAGAGAGTTCTCCTTTCTTTTCGTCCACCCAAYTGGCAAGAAGTCCCAGCTTGGATCTTTTTTTCCAGGTTTAAGGATAGTTGGAGTTCAGGAGACATCCAGGGAAACACTGGAGCAGTTCCTCATGCTATGGGAACAGGTGAAAGGAGAAAAGAATTCTTTGTGCAAAGAACTTCCTTGGCATGGTGCCCACTTGATGAATAACGGAGCAATTCCCCTGCTCTGTGCACAGCAGCACAGCAAACGGATAAAAGTCATTAGAAGGAAGCTCTCACGAAAAGATCTGAATTACAACCTAATCCTTTAATTCCTCAGATGAAGAACACTCCCCGGCAAGTTCAGTGGCCCGAAAAATTCTCAATTCGACGATTTCTGCATTAGGCAAAACAGAGCTGAGATTTGAAATATGTGYCCTGTACAGAGCAAACACCTCTTTGATCTGCATTAGTTTATCTTGTTTAAATACCCCATTACATTAAACAGATTTCATGGACAGTTTACAATTGAAGTGTATTTTTTTTTAAAAGCTCCATTTCTAAAAACAGAACCACAAGGTCTTTATGGTATCTCTTTGTAAGGTTTAGAAGTAGGAAAAAAACAACTTTATCACCAGTAGAAAATATAAATATCCACATTTACTGTGTAAATAGTGCAGAGCTGTAATAATCAATAACTACCATTACCAATATTTGTTTGAATTAACCAACAATTGATGAATATTTGAGATTCTTCAATTGACTGAGACCTCACCCAGSCACCTGTCTGTCCTCACACAGAGTTAACTTCCAGTGGTCTCACAAACTCTGCAGCTTGATCCAGCTCTGCTAAAACCACATGATCCAACCACACAAAACATCGCATCAGCTCCTCTGGAATAATTAAAAAAATTCACAGCTTTCACATGGAATGGCAAATTAGAATCCCAGAATTGCTAAARGAAGACAAGACCTGTAAGATCATCAAATCCAGCCATCAACCAGTTCACCATGTCCTCCAGTGCCACATCCACGTGTTTTTTGAACACTTCCAAGGATGGGGACTCCACCACTGCCCCAGGCATTTTTCCAATGCTTTAAAACCCTTTCCATGAAGGAATTTTAATCTCCAATCTAAACCTCCCCTGAACAAATTATGGCCATTTCCTCTCATYCTGCAAATGTCAGAACAGTGCCTGGAAGGATATGCAGATAAAAGCTCTTCCAAACTTTTTTTTTGTGGAAAAAAAATCCAAAAATTACCTACCCTGAAGAGGAATGGGAGGTGTGGGGTGGACCAGGGGAAACAGGGAAGGGGCCAAACAGAAATATGCTTTCAATAAATCCTACTTGATTTGCCATYAGGATGTGGCCTCTGAGCAGTTACTCCTGCTTTACACAAACCTCCCCTGCCCCTTGGTATAACTGTGAGGCCTTCTCTGTTAATTTTAGCAAAGCTTGTCAAAATGAATTCAGAAATTGCTGTTAATTAARGTGAACTTCCAATCCATGATGACTAACACAGCTGGAAGTTTAACTCCTGTTTTTACCTTGGTATGACACCACACTTTGCCACTAGATTATTTTACTATATTTAAATTATTTTACAACATTTATTTTGTCAGATCTTACTTTTACCATACAGTTTGGGAAGACCTGAATTCCAGCTGCTTCCATGAGTTTTTACACCCTTCATAAACACAATGTTCAGTCCCGACATAATCAGAATTTAACTCCCAAAAAGCTGCAGAGAAGCACTGAAAAAAATTACTTATCTAGATAATGGATTTCAAYTCTTTTAGAATGCTTAATTCAAATGAACACACAACACAGGAATGAAATTAAAAGATTTAAAGGAAATAATAATGCAGGTGGAGAATAAAAAGGAAGCTTTGTTCTTGCATTGGAATGTATTAGATCTTGCAATTTGCATATACAAATAATTCAGCCACATTCACCGGCATTAAAAACACGGCAAGATCAAATTAGAAACGTAATAAAAGAAAATAATAATAGCTGAGACTGTATAATACATACATATATTATAAAGATTTGACAAATTAAATACATTTTGGTTATACAGAAAAGTTTCCGTAACTTTACATGAAAAAATGGGACGGAGGGGAACGCAAACATTTCCAAAGACTGAGCACAGCGTGGTCAGGCTCGTTTGAAAAGTTTAAAAAACTGATACATAAAAATAGCCTAAAAAACACTGCTAATTACAGTATGCATTCTTCATTAAGGCCCAGGTCAGCCAAGCACTTAAGGGATCGCTTCCCACGGGATCCACGGCATTCCCATGGATTTTGGGATAAAATGTGAGGAAGCGAACGCTTAAATGCTGAGGTGAGCTGGGACCTGTCTGAACACATGAACAGTCCAAGTCACACAGTGACCAAAACCACAGGCGGATCAGAAGGAGCCTTCCAATCCAACATCTGGTGTTTCAAAGGAATTCCATGCAAYGGAAGGAGACTTGAAGGACAATTCCTACCCACCAGGACACTCCCCAGAGCAGTGCTGAGCACACACCATGACTGGGAAGGGAGCTTTTCAAATTCCCCAAAAATCCTTATGGATACAGCTGTGAATTCTGAATTCTGCTTTGGGTTTCTTTTTGCTCCTTGATATCTGAATATGGTCATCAACTAAAATCTGAGTGCTCACTGAGGATTTGGGGTTCCAGCTGAACTCCACCCTACTCCTGGGTGTACCTGGAGCCCTTTAGTGAACCCCGTGGGCTGTTGGAGTTGTGCTCCAGCACATCCCACACCCAACACCCCTGCACTGAGATGGACTTCAGGGACAACTCACCCCAAGGTTTTACCTCAGGGACCCACAAATCTGCCCAACACACAAAATATTTTTATTTAAATAAGGGCTAAATGGCCAGACAGATCCTGATGTCTGGATCAGAAAATGGGAATTCCTTTGTGTTTTCCAACCTCTGGGAGTTTCTYTGCACTGAGATGTTCAGGAGACAATTCAGCCCCATTTCTTTCCTAAGAGATCCAAAACCCTGACAGATTATTATTCAATTGTGGGCTAGATGGTCGGAAAGATCCTCACATCAGGATCAGAAAAWGTGAATTCCTTTGCGTTTTTTCCCAACCCCTGGGAGTCTCCCTGCMCTGAGATGTTCAGGAGACAACTCAACCCCAGAGACTCAAAAACCTGGGGATTTATTATTCAAATGTGGCCTAAGTGGCTGGAAAGATCCTGACATCASGATAAGAAAATGGAAATTGCTCTGCATTATTCTCCAACCTCTGGGAGTCTCCCTGTGCTGTAAATCACATTGACCCCTCACTGGATCACTCCCAGACTAAATTTATTTGGGCTCTTTCAGTTCAGACAGAATTTCAGGATCATGCCCTTCCTCACCTTCACTTTCATTTCCCCAACCCTGTGGCTCGAGTGTTTCTTCTCATAGAGACTCACAAGCAAGGTTTAGTCTTTTAAACAATCTTTTTTTCTTTTTTTTTTGTTTTTTTGTTTTTAAGTGCATAATTTACTGTACAAATAAATACAGGAGTGCAGCGATGGGAAGATGAGAAGCAGCCAATGGGAATGGGGTGCTCAGGAATTCCTACCCCAAACCTTTTCCAGCCAGGATGGAATGGAAGGAGAACTGTGGACACCTCCCCTTGTGCCCTTACACTGCTCCAAGGGATTTTTTGTGGGATGGGAATGGGATAAAATAGTGCAAGAACAGCAGGAGAAGCTCAGTTTTAGCTGCTTGTTTTAAATAAGGCTTTGTTGCATGGCAAAAGCCCGGCTGGACGAGACAGAACTATTGCATATTCGTTATGTTGTTAATTACAGAGTTGCCTCCTTTGTGCTCATTAAGTCATGGATGATTTCCAAAGAGTAGGAAAGATAAACTTTGTAATTATTCAACATTCGGGTGCCCTGTGAACTGGGGCATTTTCCACCCCCTGGTCAGGGCTGTAAAAAAGACTTTTATATTTTCTGTCATCAATTCTATTCTCAGCAGTACTTTCATTAAAAATATATCTCTGTACACAATCCTAAACCCTTCAAGAAAGGCAAGAGTTCTTTTTAGACAGCATTTATAGCAGGGTAAGAATCTGGAGGAACTTTTTGTACAATACTCAATCTTTCTGGCAGTAAACTGTTCATAAAATGYTTTTTTTYCCCAATTTTTACYGATATTCTTAATTATTCTGCTGAGTCAAATCAAGGAACAAGAATTCATCTCCTATTTTAAAGAAGTGGGAAATTATGCACATGTTTAGAGTGAAGTCTTAACTCCATTTCTGGCCTTTCTCTTCGAGCAGACAAGTCCAGGTACTGCAAAATATACTCTTCAAATATGCAAAATACTCTAAAAATCACATTATTGCCTTTCTAAGTCRATTCAAACAATATTTGGGAAAAAAACAAACTGACTGGGCTTCAAAAGTTCTGTTAATTCCAAAATTCAAATCTGTATTTCTACTGATTCTATCTAATGGAAAATAAGACTCAAMATCCAAGTGCCATCAAAACCTGGAGGCTCTTCAAAACAGCCTTGAAAAAATAAATATCTATTTTCATGGTGAACATATTTTCCTGGTGAACAAAATATGTTTAAACATATACACTGTAATTCCCTTTTTTTTAGCATAAACTGTAACTCACCTGTCAAAAATGTCAAGAACTGGGAGATAACATCATCGAGAAATAATTTATAAGTGGCAAAATTCAAAGGAAAAAACTCTCAAGAATTAATTTCCCGTTATTTAGAATAAAAATTTCTATCCCATCTTACAGTGCTATACAGTATAGAACATTATACTTTGCTTTAGAAGATATTTATATTTAAGAAACAACTTTATACAGCAAATGCAACTTTTAGAGCCCACGCGACGTTGTATTTACAGTTAAGTCAACAATCCAAATGCCATGGAATAAATTAACATAATATACAACTATTTATACAGACAAATTAAAAAATAAGGCAGGATTCTCATTTGAAATTAGCATAATCTGAAAAGATGTCGATGAAATCTTGTACCACTCTGTAGCAGAATTCATACTGTTCCTGCAAAACAAGGAAAAGGGGTCAAAATGGAGGTTTGGTTACATGGAGAAAATCTGACTTTTGCAGATCCCAGGGATAAATTCAACATGTTCTGACTGGTACCAGTAGCTGAGCACTGTTCTGTTCTGATTTCTGTTTGTTATTTTAAATATTATTTTAAACAAAAACAATCTCTTTCTTTGGTCAGACTCAGGCTGATTGTTGCTCTTTGGTTAAATTGATTTCTTGAGCTTTTTCAGAGATGGTTCTTAAACTGAATCAGTTCTTAGACCTGGCTGCTCATACAAAACATCAGTAATTTCATAAAAAAGTCTCAAAAAACTTTTAAATGTTTATTCAATAGGAAAAAGCATCTGGGCTGAGCTTCACATGGAAGTTGTAGGGACTTGAAGGAAAACCTTAAGGATTTTAAACAAGTCAGAGACTTTTCCAAGGATTTCCACACCCGAGGCCAGGTTGGACGGGGTTTGGAGCACCCTGGGGTGGTGCAAGGTGTCCCTGCCATGGCAGGCGTGGCACTGGATGGGATTTAAGGTCCCTTCCATCCCAAACCATTCCATGATTCCAATTTATGCCCAGACACTTCAAGGTAACCAAGAACAACTGATAAAGAGCCTAAAAGGCATTTACTCAATATATTTMATCACCTACAACACTCAAAATATTTTGGTTTAACAGCCTTGCGTTCCTAAAAGACAGAGAACATTTATTTCTGCATTTTCCAAGSTGTATTTTCAGAAATGCTCTAAAACCCCCTGTAAAAACCCCGAYAATGCCTTCACACACACGGTCACCATCCACAATTTCAATCAACCTRCAAAACCACCTATTTTTTATCTCCCCCAGGAATATTTACAACCAGAACTGCCTCCCAAAGCCCCAAGGGGTGGAAAATCCCTTACCAGTGTTTGCACCATGTGTGGCCTTTGCAGCCTCAAGCTCTTCACAGCCTGGAACACGTCMAGGAGCCCCTCAGCCTTCACCCTCTCCAGGATATTGCTCAGTGCTATGAAAGTCCCCGTCCTCCCTGCGCCGGCGCTGCAAGGAAAACACAATTTGCTTGGCATAAACTGGGAGAAAAATGGGATGGAAGACCCTGGACTGTCTCACGATTGACTAAACCCCAAGGTGGGAGAAAGGGGGCTTTTGCTCAAAGGAGTCTGAGCCAGGTCAAGGTGGAAGGACTGCCAAGTTTCCAGCTCCTAGGCTGCTGAGAACAATGGATGTGAGCTACGGATGATCGCACCGTTCCTGAGGAGAACGGTACRGSCCGYAGCCCATGCTGTACACCTTAACAATAGACATTCTTTCCCCACCACCTGGCCGGCAACTCATGACTTGCAACCCCCCTCCTGGCCTGCAGCCACTTGCTTTGAAAAAGACTATAAAAAGTCTCCTCCGAAGAGACCACCCCGAGATCTCCCTACCAACTGACTGACGACCATCGTGGGACCTTGGAAGAACTCGTCAGCTGGTAGCTATACGACCCAATCTCTCTCTCTCCCTCTCTCTCTCTCTCTCTCTCGCTCTCTCTCACCCTCTTCTATCGCAAAATACCCAAATAAATTGGTCCTGATTATTTGAAGCATATACATTTGCCTTCTCGTTTTCTTTTGCACTCTGAGATTCCAAAAAGAACCTATCACGACCCCCGCTCAACTCAAGCGGATSGTGACACAGGGGTGTGGAATGGGCAAGATGAGGAGAGGGGAKGCTCACCTGCAGTGCACAGTGATGGGGTGGTTCCCTGTCTGCTGCTGCTGTTTCTGCACAGCCGCGATGAGGTCGATCATCCCCTTCCCCTCGGCGGGGATCCCGATCTCCGGCCACCCATGGAAGTGGAACTGCCTGACCAGCCTGCTTTGCTTCTCCTGGTTACTCTGCCAGCAGTAAAACACCACGTTCAGCCACTCAGTATTTCCAGGTGGAAACAAAATTCCTGCCTGGAACATCTGCAGTGTGAATTTTGTACTGCTATGGAGAGTATTTACAACTTGGTCCATAATGGATTTGAACTTATTTCCTACCTTAACATTCCATGATTCTATCCTGGTCCTGCAGACCTGGCAGGTCTGTTTCTAAATCCCTCACCCACTGATAATTCCCCTATAATTTTCCTTTGATTTGCTCYGGGATGCACTAAGGATACACTGGMAGTGWCCCAGGACAGTWTGGACAGGGTTTGGAGCACCCTGGGACAGTGGAAKTGTCCCTGACCATGGTATGGGTRGCACTGGATGGRCTTTAAGGTCCCTCCCAAYCCAAACCAGTCTGRAATTCTRTGAAAAATCCTGAATCAAATTTTCTTTGATAGATGTGTGGGAAACAGCAGAAAAATCTAGRAATAACAGCAACAACAAAACAGTTWAAAAAACCYYAARCCCACTCCCCATTTTAATGCACCACCTGTTTACTGACCAGAATTTTCAGGGCTTTAAGCAAAAATGTTTCCTATAAACTTCCTCTTAATGTCACCTGTTGATTAACCACATTTAGCTTTAGATAGGAATTCCAGAATTAAAGATACACAGCCAGATTTGGAAATGCCTTCCAATGGGAAAAAAAAAAAACAAAAAACCAGCTGGAATTTTAAAGAATTACCTGATTATACGTCACCAGGAAGTCCCTCACACTGATGGCATCCATCAGGCTGTCACTCTTGATTTCCACCGTGATCTCTCCGTGAGTCACAGAGCCCTCCGATGGCCAGTACTGGCAGCATTTTTCCTGCAAAATCCAGGGAATTGTGAACATTCCTTGATTTTTTCCATAGTTATCTACATTGTCATGAACGTCTGGTATCAGAAGTGGCATTCAGTGTAACAAGTGTGCTCTAAACAGTTTGTATTGCAAACACTCAGAACTAAAAATACCAATAAYAAAATATTTCTGTAATAGATATCATTAAGATGAAAAGGGCTCAGGAGGCCCAGATGGCAAATACTGCTTTAAAATATATTTTAGTATTTTATTTAGAGATATATTTGGAGTAGAATAATAAATGTAAGCCCTGAAAGCAAGGCAGTGTTGTTAAAAACCTCCCAAAACCACCAAGAAAAAGCTTTTCACAGCACTCTTGTTGCACCCAGAATCTTCAATCTGCAGAACAGGACTCGTTCATTAATTAATGATATATGAGGACAGGCTCAGAATGAGCCATGGGAGCTTTTACTGGGGAAAACGGGAAAAAAATTTACAGAAAAGTTTGTTCCCAAATCCCTGTCCCATGTCAGCCAAATCCCTTAACGCAAACTGGAGCTTCCAAAAATCACAATATTCCACAGTTTTTTTTGTGTTTCCTGACAATTCCAGCAAAAGCAGCGATGCTAACCCACACTAGATAGTGAAGCAAGTGCTCATTTTAGGAAAAGCAAAAAAAAAAAAATCTCGAATTGCTGGAATTTGTAGGCAAAAAACCCCAACTTTTCTCCAGAATTGATGCTGATGGTTGGCAGGTGGGAAGGGGAACTGTGRGTTGGYCACRTACCTGCTCCCTCTCCTGCACCTCGGTGAGCATCACGATGGTGTGGCAYTTCCACTCCCACACCATCCTCCAGAAATCCTCCACCGTGTGGGGCAGGGGGCCCTGGGTGGCGATGAAATAATCCTTCTGGCGATATCCCTGCGGGAAGAGAGCGGGATCAGGGAGGGGACAGGGCTGAGGGGCACTGGGACAGCACGGCTTCAGTGGGGGCTCCTCCCTGGGAATGAGAGGAAACAGCCTCAAGCTGCACCAGGGGAGGATGGAGCTGGATAGCGGGGAAAATTTCCTCCCAGAAAATGTTGTCCCTGCCCAGGGCAGCGATGAAGTCCCCATCCCTGCAGGGATTTAAAATCCAGGTGGATGTGGCACTTGGGGACACAGGGCAATGTGGCCTTGGCAGTGCTGGGGATGGTTTGACTCGATGGTCTGGATGTTTTCCAACCTCAGCAATTCTGTGATTCCAAAACCTGACCCAAACTCTCAATCCTGAGGTGAATTTTTCCAGACACAGCTGGAGGGATGAGATTCTGCAGGAGCAGGAAATGATTCCCAACAAGATTGAAACAACACCACCACTCAGCTTTTCCACAGAATTCACTTCTAACTCAAGGCTTGAGCTCCAGTTTTATTTCAAAGGATCACAGAATCGATTGGGTTGGAAAAGACCTTTTCTTTTGAAGATGAGTCCAAGGTGTGACCCAGCACCACCAAGGCTCTAAATGCCACATCCAACCTTTCTTTATTTCCACACAGATGTGACCTTCACTTCCTCAGCATCCCCAATCCTGTCACTGATGTGGTTTTACTGCTCCAGGACGTGATTAATTCCCATATTTAAATCAAAACAAGACACAACCCTGTGCTACTCAGCTTCCAGCAGGAAGCTGGGAAGAAAGTTTGGAATGAATCCAGCTCTGTGTGAGTAAACCCTGACTGCCAAACACTGGGACAGCCTTCCCCTGTGCTGAACACTGACTTTTCTGTTTCTCAGAAAAGCAAATATTTACAYCTGTTAACCTGAGCCAGATAATGGAACCACTGGCTGCTGCTTGTGCAGGTGATTTGTTTTGTCAGAATTTAATAAAAAGCTTTGTTTACACATCTAACCACGAGTTTAAATTACAGAGCCATTTCAACTAAAATTGGAAACACCGGATAAGAAATGCACCTGGAAAATTGCATTTCCTCCCTGCTTGTCTCCATCCTAAACCTGCTTTGGATCTCCCTTACTCAGCTATCCCTGAACTCACATCTCTGCTCACTGAAAAATTTCTATTTCTGAAAAAAACTCATGTTCTCTGCAAGCCAAGTCGATTGTGCCTCTTTAAAAAGACCCATCAACAATAGCTGATCTGGTTTGAAAAGGATCTGGTTTGAAGTTTAAAAGCATGAAAAGTTGTGTACATACATCTATGAAGGAAGCATTGATGTAGTCGGTGTACTCCTGCCCTCTCTTCATGGACAGAATCACTCTGTTAAAATCATCTGGAAAAACAAAAAGTCTGCTGTTACTCTGGAGGCCAGGCTTATTTCTGTCAGCTGCTCGTGGCAGAACAAATCCCCCCCAAATCTGTTCTCTGAAATGCTCATTTTCAGGTGCAAATGTTACAAACGTTACATTTTCAGGGGCAAACTGAGCAAGGAATGCCACAGAAAACAGGGTGCTTTAAAGTGAAACTGCCTTAACTGAGTTACTGAATTCAAAATCCTTGCTTGGAACTGATTTTAGGATGGTTTAGTAAAACCCAATTCACTGTTTTTTTCAGAGCTGCCACTTTCTAAGGGGAGCTGTGTTCTGAGGGGAGCTGGGCTGCTGCCAGCATCCTTGGGAAATGCAGGGATTGAAATCCTAGAGGTCCGAGGTCAGGCTCTTACAGGGGATAATCTGGATGACTCTGGCTTTCTTCATGTTGGCTGGGAGGTTGCCAGTCCTCATGTTCTCCTTCATGATCCGAACATTTGTCAGCTTCTGCAAGAAACCACAGGGGGGACTGAGAACTCACTGGGATGGGAGTGGGATCCCTCCTCACATCCTGCACCCCGTGGACAACGCAGGGAATTTATTGGGGTCAAAGCAGAACCACAGGGACCTGTCCCTTCACCAAAGCCACYTCACTGTCCTGGCTGTAAAAATGAAAAAAGAGTAACAGCCATAAAATCATGGGRTGGTTTGAGTTGGAGRGGGTTTTAAAGCTCATTGCATCTTTCCTGGTCCTCCAGTGCTTCAAATCCCAATGTCCAGCCTGGCCTTGGGCACTCAAAGGGATCCAGGGGCAGCCACAGCTTCTCTGGGCACCCTGTGCCAGGGCTGCCCACCCTACAGGGAACAATTCCTGCCCAAAACCCAATCTAATTTCCTTCCCTCGCATCAATACTGTTGATTTTTGCACTTGTTGCTCTATCATTAAACTTTTTTTACATCCCATTTTCCCCAGTTCCCAATTTCTGGTTAAATTAATCCCTCAAAGCAAAGCAAGAACTCCAGTTAACACTCAGATGTCATTTAATAGTTTAAATCTATGTAGAAAATAAATATTTTAGCATAACCAAAATCATTAAAGAATTCYAACTCTTCCCTCAGGGCACTGAAGTCATTTTAACAAGGATCACAGCCAGTGTGGTTTGCTAAATCTGGGCTTTCTCCACTGAACAGAAATGGATTTTTTGGGGTTTTTTTGAGTGTTTGCCTGATAATCTGGACACACAGCACAAACCCTGTAAATTCCCTGCAACTCTCCCTGCAGTCCATCCCCACAGAGTTAAGGATCCCACTGGGATGCAAATGAGGAGCTTCCAATCCAGTTTCCTCTTCCAGCATTATCTGATCTKGCAGCCAGCACCAGACCCAGACAATCACTCCACTTTTCCCTTACAAACAAACACAAAACATTTAGGGAAAGGTCCTGGAATRACCCAGCTCTGAATGAGCATTTAGGGCCAGGATGTTCAGCAGGGTCCCATTCACACCAACCACAAAATAAACAACTTCTTCCCTTTAATGCACCTTGATGGTTAAACTTTTATCCTTTTGGCAAAGATCCCCGTGCTTACTTTAAATTCCTCTTCCAGCCCTATTTTGACCAGGTTTGGGGCAGCGTTGTGGGATGTCTGCAGGTGTTTTTCCAGGGATGACACGTCCAGCTCCGTGTCACCGTAGAGGTAGTACTCGAGTAAGGCTTGGTAAATGAAGGAATATTGCATCTGCAAGGGACAGAGAGGCAGCTGAGCACACAGCAAAATGAGGGAGGGAAATCAGGAATTCTGGGACTGATTGAAAATCCCAGAATGGTTTGGGGTGGGAGGGACCTTAAAGCCCAGCTCATCCCACCCCTGCCATGGCAGGGACACCTCCCACTGTCCCAGGGTGTTCCCAATCCCAATGTCCAGCCTGGCCTTGGGCACTCAAAGGGATCCAGGGGCAGCCACAGCTTCTCTGGGGCTCCCCACCCTCCCAGGGAACAATTCCTGCCCAAAATCCCATCCATCCCTGCCCTCTGGCAGTTTAAAACTGCTGCTCCTTGCCTTGTCACTGCTTAGTCTACAATCTACTAATTATTATCAATAATAATTTAAAATTATTCAGCTAAAGCAGATTTTTTCCTGTGATATCACCCATATTCTGGGACATTCTGCTCTCAAATGAATGGGAAAACTTGGAACTTAAAATTTGATGTTTGATTGCGCGTCCTAAAATTGATGTTTGATTGCGCTCTTCTCTGCCTTTATCTTCTCCCCTCTCCCCCATCCTCTCACTGGGCTTTGATCATTTCCCAATCAGAGAATCCCARSATGGTTTGGGYYRGAAGGGACCTCAAAACGCACCCATTCCACCCCTGCCAGGGCGGGGACACCCCCAATTCCACCCAGCCCAGTGTGGAGCAGCACCCTGGGCTGGTGGAACTCAGCAGCATTTCCTTCTCCAGCCACGAGCAGTGGGAATTTTGGACAATTTCAGCTCACTCACATCAGTCTGAACCATCTGGGGCCGCTGGTTCCGGATCCTGCAGACAAATTCAAACACATCCACCCTGTGCTCAGCGTGCATCATGTCCATGATGGCATCGATGACGATGAAGGTGCCCGTGCGCCCCACGCCAGCGCTGTCAGAACAAACCCAAAAACTGCCATGGAACCCCCACATCTGCAGGAGCTGCTGCAGCACAGACCCCTGTGCTCACACTGCACTGAAAGAGTCGCTGAGAATATGAAATTTCACACAATCACTGAGTTTTAAGCGCTGATGGGCTTCTCTTTCCTTTTCCCAACAATTCAGCTGTGTCACATCCTGAGTTCAGAGCAAAGTTCAGTGTCACCTCTGTCCCCCTTCATTTCTGATGCACAACGGCCTCTCTGCGCTCTGCCAACCCTTTATATTCCAATCCCTGCAGCTTTTAATGAAATTATTTTCTATTTCCCTCTCTTTTGTCTTTATTTCTGCTGCTTAACCCAAGCACAGCATTTTCTGCTGCTGCCAAATGAAGCTCAAGCCCAGAATGAGCCTCCACACTCAGCACAGGGTTATAAAAACTTTCTCAGCTGAGACAACTCAAATCTACATTTGACAACTCAAAATCTGCTTTTCTTTCAACCATTTTATTTCTGCCACTGGGAGAGAAGGTGAAYCCCAGCAAGGCAAGAGCTGGATGGGAATGAAACAGCAAATGTGGCTTGGTGAGGATAAAACCCAGTCTGAGACCATCGAGTGCAGCTGTCCCACACATGTCCCCAAGTGCCACAGCCACAGGGCTTTTAATCCTCCTCACCCCTGTGGCCTGTCCTGATGCCTCACCACCCTTTCAGTGGAGAAATTTTCCTCATATCCATTCTAAACCTCCCCATTTTTCATTCTGACACAGACAGCAAAAAATAAGGGGTGTTATTAACATAAAAACTCAGCTCTTCCCAGATGATGACACCAGAATGATATTTTAAAAGACATTWAAAAAAATCCGTTTGATCATTGGTAATAATTCAAGACAAGATGACAATTTAATTATTCTTCTATTAATTTCTAGTTTCACTTTTCCCACACTGTCATCCCTGAACACTTTTGGTTATTTATATCCTCAATAGCCACGAGAGGGAGCGCCATGATTAGAAATGACAAAATTCCAGCGAATTTGAGCTTTTCCTTCCAGAGGAAAAGGGCATGGCATCCTGTGCTGCTCATTAGTGGCTCCCCTTTAACCTCTGGGCTGCACGGCCACAAACACCTCCAGGAACACGATAAAAACCTCTCCCCTTCCCTCACAAGCGCAAAAACACCAAGGAATTCTCAAAATTCTCTCAATTTAAAACCGTGAGGTTTTAAATAATACCAGAAAAAATGGTTTTTGCATAATAATTGCAGTGCAATTATTTCATGTTCCACATTTTACCAGCACTGACACCAAAGCCACGGGTCCCACTGTTCCAGAGGGATGGAGGGACCTTGGAGGTTCCTTCCCTCTCCCTTCCATCCTTCCATGCTGGCACCCTCATGTCCCAATGTCTCAATTCCCATTTTTCCTGCTCCTGGAAGCCACCTCTGACAGGAATCACCCCTCACCAGATCACATTTATCCCTTCCTGGCAGTTTCCACCCCTGAGCCCACCCTGAGCTGCCTCCYTTCCCTTTCCAGCCCTGAGATCCCCTTTTCCCACATCCTCATTCCCTCTCCCTGAGCTCAGATCAGCCCTGGATTCCATCCCTGCTAAAGCTGGTGCTGTCACCAAGCTGGGCTCATCTCCCTGCTTCTCTCCATCCTTAACCTGTGTTGGGGTGTTCCTTACTCAGCCATCCCTAAATGCCCCTTTCTCCTCACTGAAAAACTCCTATTTCTGAAAAAAATCCCTATTTCTAAAAAATCCCTATTTCTACAAACTCATGGAATGCAAGAATCAGCACAAAATCCTGCCACTCCCACTCCTCATTCCACTTCTTTATCTCCAAAGGCTGAATCAGCGCTTTCCTCACTTCCCAAAGATCCTGCTGCAGAGTTTTGGGGGCAGATTTTTCTGAAAGAGCCCTAAAAATGGATGGTTACTCACTGCTGATGGGCTTCCCTTTCCTTTTCCCAACAATTCAGCYGTGTCACATCCTGAACTCAGACGGAAGTTCGGTGTCACCTCTGTCCCCCTTCATTTCTGACACTGCACTGACACACAACRGCCTCTCTCAACCCTTTATATTCCAATCCCTGCAGCTTTTTATGAAATTATTTTCAATTTCCCTTTCTTTTGTCTTTATTTCTGCTGCTTAACCCAAGCACAGCATTTCCTGCTGCTGCCAAATGAAGCTCAAACCCAGAATGAGCCTCCACGCTCAGCACAGGGTTATAAAAACAGCGTGGCTTTCTCAGCTSAGACAACTCAAATCCACTTTTCCCATTTCAATGGTTTCCTTCAAACATTTTATTTCTGCCACCYRGGAGAGAAGGWGAATCCCAGCAAGGCAAGAGCTGGATGGAAATGAAACAGCAAATCTGATTTGGTCAGGACAAACACCCCCTTTTTCACCAGCACATATTTTCAGGAGTAAAAAGAGTCAAATACAGGAATTTACAGCATTTTTTCCCCTAAAAATGAGACTCAGACAGACAAAGCTGTTCTTCTTTCCCTCTAATTCTGCTAATTTTATTTTATTCTAACCTTGCAATGATAATTGCTCCTGAAAAAGCACTTCTTGCTTTTTTATAACAGTTGCTATAGAAGTTGCAGTTATTCTCTTCAAACTGTCTGGGAGTTTGGTTTTAGTTTCATTGAAGTTTTCAAGAGTTTAGCACCAGTCTTTGCCAGCAGGAAGTGCCCGTGTGAGTGCCCAAATTAATTCAGGATTGCTATGAAGTACATTTTTAAAATTGCAGCATTTAAGTCTCCTGAATGGCAGTCTTTCTTCCAAACTTTTTTGGTATTTCAGGGCTAATTTCCACCACAAACTGCAATCTGACTGTGGGAGAAGAGGGGGATGAATTCCCAGAGCAGCACTGAGTGRCAAAGGTCACAGATTTCTATCAGGACTCTGTTTTTTTTCTGACAAAGAACAGATTTCTACCAAACAATGGACATCRCTCATAAAAAAAACCCAAACAGCAAAACAACAACTTCTGTTTGAGGATTACACTGAGAGCAAAAAGCTTTGGGAATTTTTASCCTGAGCTCTCAAAAACTCAGCTTATTACTATTATTATTATTATAATGTATTAATAATATATATAAAATAGATATTTGAAATAAGTATGTGAATAAATAGATCTATACATATAAATATATAAAATACAGATTAAAAATATAAATATATGTATAAGTAACTCCAGGCCAAGCTACAAGAACGGCTTGAGGAGCACATAACATACCTACAATGAACCACAATTGGTCCAGCGTGGGCAGGATTCAAGGTTTTGACTTTTTTCAGGAATTTCAGCATCCCAATRGGTGTGAAAGGCACCCCAAAGTCTGGCCAGCTGGTGAAGTGGAGCTGTGTGACGAGCCTTGGAGCTTTGCACCCATCCTGGAGCTGTGGGAACACCAAATTTTAAATCTGACATCTCATTTTTTACTCAAAGATTAAAGAACAAACTTATTTGTGGTTATTTATGATTTTATTCCCTGCCAGACTCAGGGCCTGACTCAAGGATTTGAGGTTTATAGTGTGTGTAAAATATAAATATTAAGTAAAAATATCATATTATTGMTGCAGCTGTGCAGTGGGATAATCCCAGGATAAATGAAAAGAGGAAGACYTTTCCAAAGAGCTAAATATATCCAAATTCACTCATTTTTTATGTGTGATATTTCCCCAAAAGATCAGCTCCCTCTTGCTGTGTCCCCCCCTGGCTGTCACAAGGCACCATCTGCTGTGGCCCTTGGGGACAGAAATCCAGAACCTCTCACAATCCATGGATCTTAGCAGGCATTGGCTTCCCTAGGAGAGACACCTCACCTTTCTCCATTTCCAAACTGAATTCCCCCTGAGCAAACCCTGGAGATTTGACCCATGAAACCCTTCATTTCCCCCAAAACCCTGCATTTCCCCCAAAACCCTGCATTTCCCCTAAAACCCTTCATTTCCCCCAAAACCCTGCATTTCCCCAAAAACCCTGCATTTCCCCCCAAACCCTTCATTTCCCCCAAAACCCTGCACTTCCCCTAAAACCCTTCATTTCCCCCAAAACATTTCATTTCCCCTAAAACTCTTCATTTCCCCCAAAACCCTTGAGCAAACCCTGGATATTTGACCCATGAAACCCTTCATTTCCCCTAAAACCCTTCATTTCCCCCAAAACCCTTCATTTCCCCCAAAACCCTGCACTTCCCCCAAAAACCTTCATTTCCCCCAAAACCCTGCATTTCCCCCAAAACCCTGCATTTCCCCTAAAACCCTTCAATTCCTCCAAAACCCTGCATTTCCCCCAAAACCCTTCATTTCCCCCAAAACCCTTCATTTCGCCCAAATCCCTTCATTTCCCCCAAAACCCTTCACTTCCCCCAAAACCAAAGATTGCCCCGAAAACTCACCGCCTGCACGCAGAATTTTCGGATGGTGTAATCCACCAGCACGATGCAATCCTCCACTGACACCCTGATGTTCCCATAGGTCCAGCAGCCCTGGTCAGGCCAGTACTGGTGACATTTTTCCTTCACAAAAAAAAAAAGGGAATTTTAGAGGTCTGAGATTGTTTTCACTGCCGGGAGTTCTTGGGTTTTATTTGAAAAGAGGGAAGGTGAGCACGGCTGGGAATGTGCAGAGCTGCTCATGGGGTACAAAGCAACTGCAGCATCTGCTTCTTAAACTTAGGCAGCTTTGAAGGTGTTTTTGAACCTCATCAGC